GAGTATGTCTGCTCTGGCCGCATGTGCGGCGGCGGACTTCGTCTTGCCGACGGCGCTCGCATGAGTGTTCTGCGTGTACGGTCGTATGGACTTTGGCATTTGGGCACATGTATGCGGTTCGTTTCTGTTTGTACGTAGCGGTTTCTGCTCAAGCCGCTTACTGTATATCGCGAGATCGTATTCACTTCCATATTGCCGGCCTTCCGTATGGCTTCCCAGATGGCCGGTCGGCTCGACCCCGTGACGGGCGAGTATTACCCAAGCGATGATGAAGTGCGCTACAGTATGGAGCGCTGGCACACGCCACCCAACGACGAGGCGTATGCGCGGCAATGGCTCAAGCAGTGTGGCTCGGAGAGGTGGTTCGCGTGCGGTATCTTCTTCCCTATTGTGTGGGAGGGTGTCAAGGGCGTATGCCTCGCCGTATCGAGCGGTATGTCCACGAGGCAGTCGAAGACGAACAACGACCCGAACTACCAGCACAGTATGGGGGGCATCCCCGAGCCGGAGTGGGTTTACTTCGACGCCTTCTTCTACGCGCACGCGGTATTCGGGAATTTCTCGGTATTCCAGGATGAGAGGCTTGGGAAGCCCATTGGCTTCCTTCTGCACGTATTCGACACGCTATGCACCGGGCGAGGTATCGTCGCCTGGAAAGCCCACCTCTTCGTCCACCCGGGCCAGTGGGTGTATAGCAGTATGCGGTATTTGCTCGGTCAGCTCGGTATTCCCATTCACGCGGAGATCGTATCCGGCCTCTCCTACAGGGCCCTCGCCACCTTGGACGTATTCATTGCGTATCACGCGGCCTTCATGGGTACGGACCCGCAGAAAATGGCCATTTGGAACGTATCCCCTGAGGTCGGCCCAGAGATAAAGTATCCGCGTCAAGACCAGTGGTGGTGGTTGCCCGTATGGCGGTCTTTTGGTCAGAGCGACGAGTATCCGAACATGCTCGATTACCCGCTCTTGCCGGCGCATGTCGTGGCCGCGTTCGCACTGCCGTATGCGAGCCCCGGCTCTCCCGCCAGCAGGCGTATCGGCAATATCATTGGCCATTTGGGAGCGCACGGGTATCAGCCAGGCCCGCACCTGCATCAGCCAGGCAGCCGTGTACCCAAGCGTATTCGCGACGTCGCAGAGGACGAGTCGCCTTAGTATGCTTCGTGTATATTCATAGTGTGACTGGACCTGTTTGCGAAAGCAGGAGAAAGTATGAGCATTGCATGCGTCATCCTTGGGACTGTATAACAGCAGAAACAGACAACATTGCATCGCAGACGGACAGCCATCGGGACAACCATCGGGACAACCATCGGGACAACCATTTGGACCAGCATCGGGAAAACGATCGGGACAACCATAACCATCAGGACAACCATCGGGGCAACCATCGAGACAACCATCGGGACAACGATACCTTCTCTCTTGTGTCCTCCCACATCCCTCAGGAAGTTGCCCTAAAGATGTGACCGACTCCTCTCTCTCCTTCTCTATGTCTCTCGCTCTTTCTCTGCTTCATATCTATCATATGAACACATCTATCTCGCTCTTTCTCTGCTTCATCGCCTTCCCAGGAAATTGCCCCAAAAATGTGACCAACTATCTTGGCAGTGCGTACCATCTCACGTGTACCGTGTACCACATCTTCTCAGGTTGCCTCACACATGTGACGAATCTCTTTCTATCTCTCTCTCCTCTGGCTCTCTGTCTTGCTCTCTCTCTCTCTCTCTCTGTCTCTCTGTCTTGCTCTCTCTCTCTCTCTGTCTTGCTCTCTCTATGTCATGCGCAACGAATGCACGATGCGGGGCACATGCGGGGCCCAAACAAGTGATCAACCTCTGCGGGTGTGTACTCCACGCCAGTGTAGTATCCACGATCGTCCGCGCGCCACGAAGTGAAGTGTCCTGACGTCATAGGGCGGGAAGCTGGGTGTGGGTGGTTCCCTAGAGTCGTGTGGATGTTTGGTAGAGCTTGCATTGCCCCCCCACGAAGTGGGGGTATTGGCTGGCGTCGCATGAAAACCCTGGCACTGGGGAGAACACTGAGCGTTCGGGTAAAATGATTGTTGTTGTTGTTGTTGTTGTTGCTCGAAGCGAATCGAAGCTCGCATTTTTCTGCGTCCGCGGCTGGGCAGAGGGCGACTGCTCCAGCGGAAGGGCAACAGGGGACACGCTGTATCCGAATTAGGGCCGCAATGCACGGAAGGAGGAGGAGGAGTAGCCCCGGCGCGACGGGAAGAGGGAGGCCGGGCCATCAAAACACACACACAAGCATACACCAAACAAATCCATGAGGCGACCTCTGGTGCAAACTTAAAAACCCGATGGAGAGCACACGCACTGAACACAACATGACACCAGGAAATACACACATCCTCGAGCATCCCTCAGACTCTTTTCCCTGGCTGCCCCCTCGCCACGGCGCCGCCGCTGACCCTTAACCGTGCGTTTTCCCTCGTTGACTCGGCTCGCCTAGGCGTATCAATACCCACCGCCATCGAGGAACAATAAAAAGGTTCTGGGGCGAAATCCGCCACTGCGCCTCTGGCACGAAGTGGAGTGCCCCAAGGCTCATGCAGCACTGCGAGGGCTGTGCTGCTACTGCAGCCAGAACTGCGAGTCTTTTAAAACCTGGACCAATCGTTTCCCGGGCTGGCCCAGGGTCCGCAAGAATCGCTCGCGTCGGCCGAAACCGCCCAGGAGGGCCGCAAAACTAACCCAGATGGCTCCAGGAGGCCCCCCAAATGGTCAAAGATGGCCCCAAGTCGCCCCAATATCGCTCCAAGACGCGCACGATGGCCGTCAGACGGCCAAACAAGACCCCAAGATGGACCGAAGACGGGCCAATAAGCCTCCAAGACGGCCACAGAGGTCTCGAAGAGGCCTTCCAAAGGGCCCCAAGAGGCACAAGTCCGTGACTTTCCTTTAATGTTTGATGGATTTGGGTGTTCCTTTTCGGCGTTCCGACGCTCCAAGACGCCCCCAAGACCACCCTACCTAAACGGGCCCAAGAGACCTCCAAGAGGGCCCCAAGGCGGCCTAAGAGCGCCCCAAGAGGCCCCCAAGACGGCCCTAGAGGGCCCCAAGACGGTCCCCCAAAAGAGGCCCAAGAGAGGGAACACGAACCGAAAATCCAAGCCCTTCGCCCCGAGAGACCCCCAGGAGGCCCCAAGAGGCGCCCAAGAGACCCCAAGGGGCCCCCAAGAAAGAGGCCCACAAGAAAACCAAAAGAGGCCCCAAGAGGCCCCAGAACGGCCCCCCAGAGGCCTCAGAACCGCCTCCACAGATCCCATCGAACATCCAATAAGCTTCATACCGACAACCCAATCACGGCGACGGGACTGGCCGAAGGCCGTTCAACCCGCCGCCCCCTGTTGGCTTGCCACAGGGGTGCTTGGGATGCTGGACGTTCTGAACGAGGTTCTTGGTTCTTAGAACGACCCCCCCTGGGGCTTCGGCACAGCGAGCCAGCCACCCGGAAAGGGTGGTTGCTAAAATTTGTCCTGCTCCAGATGGCTCCAAGTTAGCCTCCAAGACGGCCCAAGATGGCCTCCAAGCTCGTCCAAGATGGCCCAAGATGGCCTCCAAGACGGCTCAAGAGAGTCCAAGATGACCCCAAGTTTGCCATAGACGCCTCGAAAACGGCCCCAGACGGCCCAACCCAAGAGTCCCCCAAGAGGCCTCCCCAACGGCCCAAGAGGTCTCCAAGAGGTCCTCCAGGAAAGCCCGAAAAGGACAAAATCATTTATTTTGCGGGGATTGTTGAAGGATTACGGCATTTACCTCTTTTCGATACTCCGACGGTCCGAGACGTCCCAAGAGCTCCCCAAGATCGCCCCAGGGCACCCCAGAGGCCTCCAAGATGGCCCCATAACAGGCCAAGAGGCCCCCGAGACGGCCCCAAGAGGGCGCCACGACGGCCTGAGATACCTCCAAGACGGCCCAAGAGGCCTCCAAGAGGGCCCTGGAGCACCCCAAGAGGGCATCAAGTCGGTTCAGAGAGGCTCCCTAAGACGGCGTCTGACGGCGTCAGACGGGCCAGGAACACCTTAAGACGGCCAAGGAGGCCCCCAAGAAGTCCCCAAAGGCCCCCAAGAGGCCCAAGGAGGTCTCCAAGATGCCTCGAAGAGGCCACCGGGAAGCTCCCAGGAGGCCCCAAGAATGCCCCCAGCGACTCCCAAGATGCCCCCTCCTCCTCCCCCTCCTCCTCCTCGTCCTCCTCCTGATCTTCCCCGCCATTCTCCCCCAAGGGCCCGAAGGGTTTCCGCACCGGCTAGGGGAACACATGGTCCGATAGCTTGGCAGAGCTCTGGCCACAACGTTCGGCCACATGGGCGATTCTTAAAGGCAGGAGACGGCAGTGATTCGCTGCAGGCGTCTTCGGTACATAACTGTACTGATGCAGGTCCCCGATCCTCTCATTTTGGCTCCCGGTCCAGGTTGACAAAGTTTTTGTCATTCGTTACCTCCGCTGGGACTGCGGGGGTCTTTGGGCTGATCGGGAAGCTGACGGTTTGCCAGCACACATTGCACGCGTCCGAGCGTTTTCCTGACCAGAAGGAGGATGAGGGGCAGAAGGAACAGGAGCAGGCGGATGATAAGTAAAATGTCAATGGTAGAAAGACAACGAAGATGAAATCAAGAATGAGGAGGAGAAGGAGGACAAGTAGGAGGACGACAAATACTTGACAAAGAGAACGACAAGTTAAAGGGGCCAGAGGAGGGGGATGCATCTGATGATGACCAAGGACGAAGAAAGTAATGATGAGGAGGAGGGAGGCGCGAGGAGTCGCGAGGAATGAGGAGGGATTAGAGAAGGGACCTCATTTCCGTCCTCATTCGACACCACTTACCCGCCTCCCTATTTTCGCCAATCCATGTTGTTCCGCCGTCAAATCTACCCTTCGGTCCACTTCATGTCCTGATGCTGTTCCAAATTCTCTGGTATCCATATTCGTCTAGTATCGGCATCTGGCGGCACGGGGTGGCGGAGCGCACTTGTTGTCCCACTGCATTCCGGCCACGCCAATGTTCTTATCGCAGAGGATGTCTGGCCCGAGGAGGATGAAGGGGTCCTGCGGCATGCAGTGAGGAAAAGGCGAGTGTCGGAACGAGACGGGGCAGGAAAGCAGATGACGAAGGACGGAATCTGAAAAGGAGCACCCCCCTGAGAAGGCGATATCGGGGAACGGTGAATGGGGCCCCTGGAGTCTGGCGAAACTGGGGCCAGCACGAGCACGGAGAGGGCAACACCTGAGCGAGCGGCCGCGGGCCCTCTTCCCTGGGACGACGGGGCGGACAAGCTGAAGTGCAGCACCTCCCACGGTGCGACGATCGCTGGCGCTGGCATCACCACGGCAGGCGCCACGCGCATGTGGAACTGCGATTGCCGCGACAACGGCCGTCAGGCCCACCTCCCTCCGCCCCCCCGCCCAGCGAGGAGCGGACAGCGTCTTCGCGGCGGCGCCGACACGCGTGAGAGATCCTACGGTCGGGAATCGGCGGCGACGAGAGGGGCGAATAGCCCAGGGGCGGGCAGTACACGCATTCGCCCGGGAGCCTTCTCGAAGACATGGATCATCGGCGACCCTGAGTACATGTATTGCTCTCCCCTGGGCGATTCGCCCCATATCGTCGCCTCTGAGGGATCGTTTGCTCGGAGTGTCGCGGCGGCAGCCCCGGAGACACGCTGTGCCGTGCAAGCGGACAGCGCGTCACTCCGCTCCGCGGTGCTGGAGGCTGGGGAAAGCTCGCGACGAGGACGCCTGGGAGTTGGGAGGTGGCTGGCGTGCCACGCCGAAGCGTGATGGGCCAGACCCCGCGGAGCGACACGATATTCGTCGGCGGCGAGGCGGCGAAGTCCGCACCAGCGTAACAGCTAGGTAGGGGCACTAGCTAGCGAATTGGCTGGCGTGCCAGGAAGGAGGGGGGAGGCCGAGAGGAAGGAGGGACGCTCAGACGCCGAAGAATTCGACGCTGAGCATGCCGTCGGAACGACACACGCTGAGCCCAAGTTCCCGACCGGAGGCGGGCATCCGACACCGCATCCCCTGGCACATTCGGACGCGGTGCACTGCCCAGGGCTGTCTGTGATCAGGGCCCCTGGAATCCTCCAAGGGCCCCCCACCCCGAACTCTGCCAGCAGAGCTGGCCACGCATCGCCCTCCTCTCCCGAGGCCGCGATGCCTCGCAGCAGGCGATGGACCCTTGGCTCCCGAGGCCACGACCCCAAGTGAAAAACTTGCTTATTATTATGGTTATTATTATTAGTATCATTCGTATTATTACTTTTAATATTATTATTAGTATTATCATTATGACTACAATTATTATTACATTATTATAAATATTAGTACAATTAATACTACTACGATTATTATTGTTGCAAGTATTATGATTATCTTTAATATTGTATCATATATATATATACTGTTATTGTAATTATGGTTACTATCAGTGTAAATATATGTCATATTGTAATTAGTGTTAATATCAGCATTGTTATTATCATCATATTGTTGTTAGTGTAATTATGGTTATTAGTGTCATTGTTATTGTAATTATCGTTCTACAATTTATTATTATTGATATTATTATGTTTATTATTATTCTTCTTATTATTATTATCATTATTATCATCATCATTATTAGCATTGTATATATACACACATATATATATGTTTTGTGTTATTCTATGCTGTTTTTTACCCCAAGTAAAAAAAAACTGTGGAACCGCCCCCCCCCCGAGCCTCCCAGACGGTCCAGGCAGGCAACCAAGGCCGCCAGCATGGCCAGCGGTGCCTTCAAGACGGCCCAGGATGGCCCCGAGGCGGCCCAGGATGGCCTCAAGGCGGCGCAAGACGGCTCCAACAGCGCCCACAGGGTGCCACGCGATGACCCCCAACATGGTCCGAAGAGGCCCTAATCACTGACTTCCGCCGAGGTTTGTGACAGATGTTCGCATTCTCGCCTGTTCGAGCTCCCGTCAGCTCAAGACGCATCAGCAGCAGCAGCAGCATCATCATCAGCATCAGCATCAGCATCAGCAGCAGCAGCATCATCATCATCATCATCATCATCATCATCATCAGCAGCAGCAGCATCATCATCATCATCATCAGCATCAGCATCATCATCAGCAGCAGCAGCATCATCATCACCACCACAACCACCACCACCACCATCATCATCATCATCATCATCGTCATCATCATCATCATCATCATCATCATCATCATCACCATCATCACCACCACCATCATCACCATACCATCACCATCACCGTCATCATCAGCATCGTCATCGTGACTATCATGATCATCAGCAGCAGCAGCAGCAGCAACATGGTCCTCATCATCCTCACCACGGCTGTCCCAAGCCTGGGGACACGAGATCTCACACGTGACGGCCTCCCGTGCCCCGCGAACAGTCGACACCCAGAAAGCTGGGCTGGCACGGTGGAAGAACTTGCCGCAGGCAGCTGCATAAACCCTCGCTGTAGCAGCCGCCGTTCCCTCCCATCCAAACCCTCACACCGTCAGCCCCTCCGCTCCACACTCCCTCTCCGCACAGGAATGCCGCACTGAGTGCAATGCGGGCTGGTCGAAGGGACACTCGGCAGATCTGAAGAAACCCTTGTGGTCTGAGTCACACAAGGGCCCAACTTTCAAAATTTACGATCTCGCCCGTTACCCGCCCGCTGGTCACAGCACGATTCGCGTCGGCGCCGTTAGGTAACCAACCCCAAGACGGCGCTGGCTCGAACCGTGACGCTACCGGCCCCCCCCCTGCGCCCCAGGTCACGCCTGTTACCGCCGCAGGGGAAGAAACCGAGCTCCAACAGTCAGACTGTTGGAGCCCAGCCTTCTACCCGCTGGCCGTGTTGCTCTGTCTTTGGGGAAGGCTGCCTTCCCCAAGGACAGTGCAGAACAAGCCGCCGCCGCGCCGACCCTCCATTAGGCGGGTCGCCAGGGCCCAGCAAAAGGGACCCCCGTGTATCAGTAAAAGGAAGCCCCGTGTATAAGAAACAGAGACCTTGGCGCCACCAGGAGAGCTGTGGCCGTGGGTCGAGAACTCCTCGCTCGTCGTGCTCTTCTGCTGGTTCCGGCAGACTGAAGGGGGGCCCAGGGACACACAAACAAACAGGCTCAGATCCCAGGATTCCCAATATGTTCCTATATTTTCCGAGTTCCGTCTTCCCCTCCCCCACATCCCATATTTCCAATCTTTTCCTGGGAATCGACGATTCATTGGGTCTGTGCGTTTTTCCCCCTCCTGAAGAGTCCTGGCTTGCCAAGTCCTGGCTTACTGGGTCCTGAGGTCGTCGACGGGTCGCGCGGCTGTTCTTACATAACGATGTCCTCCGAGAGCCCCAGCAAGGCACCCGAATAGCAGCACAGGTGAAGAGGCGGGTCGAGGACAGGGCTATGAGCACTGCAATGCGCACCTAAACGAGTTTGGCTGCTGCGGGGGATTGTGGCCGCCCGTACCAAAAATGTAGCCGGCGTTGAGACGAGAGCACTGTGCCTGAATCAGTTGGGAGGAATGTCTCCGGCGGAGCCAGGCTGGCTGCCGAAGCTGGGCGGTCCAAGGCTCCCCTTCCCCCCTGTGAGAATTCTTCCGTGGTTGCACGAAGGAGTGACCCTGGGTAGGAGTGGCCTGTGGTGCGCGGCTTTTTGGGGGGCCGCGGCTGGGCAACACACAAGCGCGCAAGACGCTAGTATCGCATCGCGTTCGGCGATCGGGGGGCCCCAGTGGGCCCACACCAAAGGTCACTCTGGCGCAGGGTCACTCTTACGTGCAATCGATGCTATACCACTAGCAGAACCTCTGGCGAAACGATGCTAAGAGAAAACCAAGCAGAACCGTCCACCGCCAGGCGCCGATCTGCTTGCCGACGAACACTTACACTCTACTTACCTTGTGCTACCGTTCGTCATGCTTTTCGGCTTCTTCCTTATTCTCGAGTCTCGAGCTCCCTCAGAATCTAACCTGGCAGGATAGGTCTTCTCTGGAATCTAACCTACCTTGTATTCCTTCCTCATTCTTCTTATCCTCTCTGGAATCTAACCTACCTTCTATTCCTTTCCTTCCTGATTTCTTCTCTAGATACCTTCCTTCCTTATTCTCTAGCTCTCTCAGAATCTAGCCTACCTGGAAGAATTATTCTCTCCCTGCTGTGCAGCATGGACGCTCTCCGAAGCAGGGCGGGCAGGCCGCGGGCTGGGCCGCCGACGGGGCGCGGGCGGGTCGTGGCGCGCGGGGCCTGCCGGGCGGCTCGCGGGTGGCCCGCGGGGCAGAGCGCGCCTGGCTCGCGAGGCGGGGCGCGAGCGGGTCGCGGGCAGTGAGAGGAGGAGGAGGAGGAGGAGGAGGAGGAGGAGGAGGAGGAGGAGGAGGAGGAGGAGGAGGAGGAGGAGGAGGAGGAGGAAGGTGCACCGGTGGCGGGGCGGGTCGCGGGGCGGGAGACGTGGCGACGGCGCAGAGGAAGAGCAGGACTCCGCGCCGCGGAGATCCCAGTCCGGCCACGCACCGTGGACAGCGCACCCCCGCCCGGAGCCCTCGCTCTGACGGCTTCGGGGGCCCGCCGCTGACCCGAGAATGCCCTGGGGGGCGGCGGGGGCAAGCCGCAACTGGAGTCCAACACCTCCTCCCTCTCCTCCGTGCTCCTCTCGCTCTCCTCACTGTTGTCGCTCCCTACGCCCCAAGCCGTAAGAACCGATACATGGCACACCCTACTCCTAACTGCAATTCTAGGACATATCGCGCGGTGCGATCAAGTGGGAACCACACCATCCATGTATCTAGATGCATATACAGATACATGGATGAGCACCAACGCAATGACGTTGCATGACAAACGAACCTCTCTCATGCACGTGACGATAGATGTTAAGCTGGTGCGTCCCACAGAAGCTGTGAATACATCCAGGTATACACATGAGTCTGTGGCAACACTAATATGGTGCTACAGCTGTATCTGCATGATGGATTGCCGGTGGTCAGAACAACAACTTTCGTTTACGCTCACCCTGATACTTCAAGCCAAGCAGCGACCAGCTAAGCTAAACCCACCAACGATGTGATATGTCTGGGTGAACTCAACGCAGCGCTATGAATCCCCTACACCTGGTAAGCCAACGGGCCGAAACGCTAGCCCCCATTCTGCATTTCCCCATCTGTGCGCGGCGAACGCACCCCCTTCCGCGACGACATGATCAAATGGCGACCCCCTCGGAGAGCGTGCCTTGCGCATGATAAACTGTGTGAGGCCTGCCTGGGCAGACGGCACAGACCCTTCCCCTAGTGATGTGGAGCTGCAAGCCGATCTGATGATCCTTAGCCACTGCACGAAAATCTCGACGTCGGCAACCGTCAGATATTATCAGGAAAGCCCTAAGAGACAGAAACACAAATTTCCGAATGTCCGCGCCGATGTCTTGGGTCGGCGCTGGACCCCCCTCCCACGTAATCCCACACTCGGACATTGGCAAGACCGGGTTTAGTGGGACCTGGTTAAATGATATGTACCGGGGAATGACCTCCCGTCCCATTCCACTAGCCGTAACTGCCGCTATCCAAAGGAACAACAGCTACAGAAGGTTTGGTTTAGTGATTCTGGTTTATTGTTTAGGTTTCGGGGTCCAATCAGCAACCGGCTCTCATAAACAGGGGTCCTGGCTATATCCGACACACACACACACACCCTACACACACCCTCCCGGGCGCGCAGAGCACGCCAAGGACGGCGCCGGACGCGCCGCCAAAGGTGTGGGAAAAGGGGTCCAACGTCGTGCCAAGCGATCCGCTCGGACTGCCCCAAAAAAATGTCTGAGGAATCCCAAAGGCAACGATACCGCTACTCCGTGGACCTCGCCCAGGGTGCGTTCCTACCAGGCTTTCGAAGCGAATCCAGCGTTGGCGAAGAGGGCCTCCAAGGAGGCCGAAAAAGGGGAAACCGGCCGAAGGGTAGCGGTATGGGTACCTTTTCCTACGCTGAACGCCCGTGTCATTATCCTCTCGTAGCGGACGTCCTGCAGCGCAACCTGCAGCGGGTTGTTGTTCGCGGGGGCCGCTGGCGCGGCCGGGCCCTTGGCCGCAGACGTCGCCGAGGGGTAGCCGCCGCTGGACGAGGCCTGGGCACGCCGCGTGGCGAGTGCGGCTGCGGCGGAGCTGGCGGTGGAGTGCCGGAAGGAACATGTTTGTCCTCAGACGGGATTATTGTCAGTGGTGCGGCGCCTCCACCTCCGCACGCTCCAGCCATTCTCCTTCCACGCCGAGGCCCACTCTCTCTCTCTCTCTCTCTCTCTTTCTCACACACACATTCGTACTCAGAACCGATGGCACTCGGGCTCAACCGCACTCGCACAGGTCCAGCGATATCCAATCCCACTCGTGATCAGCCCGACCACGCTCAGTTCCAGCCGAACCCAGCTCATGCATACGCATATATATATATATATATATACAAGACTGCAGTGGCGCTTCGCGCCATGCACCTTGGTCCTTAAAGTTTGGTATGCAGGCGGACTAGCTGGAAGGTTAAGCCGACAATTTAACGAGAACTCCTTGTTACCTTTTCCGGCATCGCCGCTATAATCATGTTATTCGTTATCATTCCTCCATGCTTATTTTTCCTAAGTTTCGCCATGCCCTGCGCATTCTCCCCATCCTCCTCAGCTCTTTTTGCGGGGGCTCCTCCTTGGAGAGCCTCTGGGGGCCTCACAAAAGTTGTTTCAGGCTTTCTTAAGGCCTGCTGAAGGCCTCGTGGGCGTGTTCTGGGGGCCTCTGGGGACTTCCTCGGGCCACCCTGCCTCCAACCGCGGGGCACTTCAATGCGAGTCGGCGATTTCGGCGGGCGCGGTATCATGGCAACGTCGACAACAGTTGAGGCAATGGTGATGGTAGCGATGCTGGTGACGATGGTGACAACGACGACGACAAAGCCAGAAACGGCGCCAATGCTGATCACGCCGACGACCATGACGGCGTCCTCGCGTCGGTGATGCAGGTTTTGGAGGGAGTTCGACATGCGCGCTCGGCCGACGCGCGAGAGTGGCCCGCATGGTATCATTTGACACGGATGGTGCCCCCCCAGCACGTGCGCAAGGGCCTTCGACTGATTTCGACGTGCGGCGCGAGGAGCCTGTTTGGCCGACTTTCATGAACATGTTGAAAACTTGCGGTTTGCTCAAGAATTCGCAGGAGCGCGAGCGCAGGCATTTTTGAGAATTGTCGTTGCAAAACCAACAGCTTGTATTTTGGCTTCGGGACAATCCATTTTGAAATCCCTACGGAACCTGAGTTTGTTGTATTTTCTTTGTTATTAAAAGTTGCGGCATGCGCGCGACGACGTGCGTGTGTGCACGTCGTCCCATTTGTTGCAAGGGATGATTGCGACAACACGCGCGAAATTGCGTTCGAGCGATTCCGACATGCGCGCGCGAGAGGCCCGCCTGGTAACATGTTATGATAATGTTGAACAACCTCTGGTTTTCATTAGAAACCGCTGGAGAGCGGGCGCAGGTTGTTTTGAAAATACTTGTGGCGAAGCAATGTGTTGCTATATATTTTCGGGACACTCGATTTTGAAATCCTTACGACACCTTGGGTATGCGCTGGCGACGGCGCGCGCGTGTGCACTTCGTCAGTTTTTGCAGGGACCTTGAAAACTTATGAGCTTTGATAAACGAGTGCGCGCGCATGGTGTTTTTTTCTGCAGAAGATGAGGCGAGGGATACTGGATGAGCTGGGATGATACGAGCTCACACTAGGGATGGGCTATGGGACAGAATCACATGTTAAACTGCAATGCCAAAACGGAATCTGTTAAGTCAGTGGGGGTAGATCCTAACACTCCTCCCCTTTGGAAAAGGGAATCTAAGGCAACGGCGGGGCGACGACGGAGGCAACACAGCCGCCAGGGCGGCAGACCGGCCCAGACGACGGGCGGCGACGGGGCGGCGACGGCGGCAACATAGCCGCCAGAGCGGCACATCAGCCTAGGCGACGGTCGGTGACGAGGGGGCGACGGGGCGGCGACGGCGGCAGCCGCCAGAGCGGCACACCAGCCGCCAGAGCGGCACACCAAGCCTGTGTGCAAGCACAGTTTGGGGAATCAACTGCTGTCGGCGGTCCGCGCGTTCGCTCAGAAAGGTTCTGTTGCTGGAGGTGCTTCCTATGTTTCTTCCCTGCGTCTCGATGAACTGATCCCTCGGCTCCTCCCCCTCGCCATCGCTCGGACGTCCCTTCCCTGTGTTTTTTTCGGTTTCGTGCGTGGTTTTTCCCCAAATGATCGAGGATGCTCCTCGATGGTCCTCGCCGAAGAAAAAGTGCACACGTCCGAGCGATGCCGAGCCCCACACCCTGTCACCCGTCGCGGGCCTCCACCTTCGCGGGCGGCTTCACCGTCGTGCTCAGCCTGCGCCGCGGGGTCTTCGGGCATGCGCGGCTGCGACCGGTGGGCGCCGGGCTCGGCCAAGCCGAGAGGCCACAGAGGTGGCGGGAGGCGTGGCGACCCCGATCCCGGAATTCCTGGGATGCCCCACCGGCGAGGAAATGTGTGGCCCGACTCGTGGACGTACCCTATACGATGGGGGCGCACATCCTCTGCAGGGGTGCGTCCGGATGGCCCCCTGGGGGGGTATATCCCCGAAGTCCCACCAGCCCTCTGGGCGTAGGTGGTCTAGAGCAGATCCTCTTCCACCCCTCCCTCTTCCCCCTTGGGGAGGGGTTTACCCCTCCCCCTACCCCCTCCCCTGGACCTGGACGGGGGGGGCCGCGGGTAGTTAGAGCGTCCCAGATGGCCCAAGACGGCTCCAAGAGCGCCTCAGAGAACCCAAGATGAGCTCCAAGATGGCTCAAGATAGCGCAAGATCGCTCGAGATGGCTCCTAAGATGGTTCCAAGAAGCCCAAAGACGGCCCCAAGATAACTCCAAGTGGCCAAACAGCTCCCCAAGGAGGCCCCGAAGAGGCCAAAATCGTCCCAAAACCTAAGGAAAATCAATGATTTTTGCTTTCTCGCCTTTTCGCTTCCGATGGCCATCCGAGGCCTGGAGATGGTTCCAAGATGGCCCAAGAGGGCCCCAAGAGAGCCCCAAAAGAGCCCCAAGACGGCCCCAAGAGCGCCCAAGAGCACTCCAAGAGCGTTCCAAGAGGGGTCCAAGAGGCGATTTTAGGGGCTTCCGAGGGGGGACGCTAATTAAACCCCCCCTCTTGTTTGATCGATCTCCTCCAAGATGGCCCCAAGAAGCGCCCAGGAAGCCCCAAGAGGTCCCAAGATGGCCCCAAAATGGCCCCAAGAGGCCCCCAAGAGGCCCCCCGGAGGCCCCCAAGAGACCCCCAAGAGGCCCCAAGAGCCCCCCCAGATGCACCCAAGATGCTCCAAGAGGCCTCGGCGAGAATGCCTAATCATTGATTCTACACAGGTTTTAGCCACATGGAGGCCTCTTGGGGGGGGGCACGGATTAAGATGACTCCAAGAGCGTCTGGGAGAGCCCAAAATGACCTCCAAGATGGCTCAAGATATCCCAAGATGTCTCATAATGGCTTCCTCTGTGTGCTGCCCACTTCTCTGATCGAGGCAATTCCTCTGGGCATCGTTTCTGGATGGGCTGGTGGGGATTCGCGAAGCGACAACAATTTCCTTTTTGTTCGTTGAGCGGCCAGTTGCTTTTCGAAGATATCGGGGATTGGGGGTGAGAGATCGTGTGCGAAGGAGGCCCCCCGAAGAGGCAAAAACATGGCCGACTCCAGGAGACCCAGACCCCAAAAAGCTGGCGCCTCCTGGGGGAGATCATCCTCTCCTTGCGCCAGCGTCCGCCCGCCTTCCGCCTGCTCCCTCCGACGGGGCCACCCTCGTGTCATTTTTCGCCACCTTCCGTCGAAAAATAAAAGCCGACCCCTCGATCCCTCGAAAGCGAGGCCGTGTCTGGTGCGCCCCACGCAGCGCAGGCCCCAATCGGGACAACTCGCTATCAGCCAGAGAAAAAAATACTGAGGGCAGTTGGCCTCGAGAGCAATTACAGCAGGTGCCCAGCAAGATAGGCCATTTCATAAAATTCCCATCCACTTTTTTCACTCCCTCCTCTGCTCTCCTCTCGCTTCCCTCCCCAACCCTCCACTCCATGCATCTATCCCGCACACCTGGTCTCTCATTCCAAACCTCTCCCGCGCCCCTGAAAGACACGCGAAAGCCCATCGTTCCCACGTGTACCGAACCCATGCCATACCTTACACAACACATTACCAATGTCATCGAGCACATGCTTCGGCATGGTGGGTGTACAGTCCAAGTCTGTGGAACCCGAACGGTCCCTATGAAAACGAGACACACTTGTATATGCACTTGAATGTCTATATACACAGATATTCAACGCACAATCCCGGAAGAACATGCTGGTGATCAGAGCTTCATTATACTCAAAAAAAAGCCATACGTTGATTCCCTGCTGGGAGCTGCAACGAATATCACGGCGTCCTGCAAGAAGGTGTCGCGTCACAACTGCCAGCGCTAACTGCAACGGCGACGCGTTGGGACGGTGTTGCAACGCAGCCTGATAGCGTCATCGACCGAGCCGCTGTAGAACCTTGATCTTCGGGCAATCTCATTCGTCTCTGCATCCTCGGGAGGACAAGGTGGACAGTCCGTCATTAAGGAAAGTCCGCCAGACACTTCGACGCACACAGGCAGGACATGGAGGCATGCCGAGCCAAAGAGAACGTGCCAAGATCTCACAGCACGATGGACGGTTAGTTATCTGTGCTGGAGCATGCGGAGGAAGCCAGGGAGGGAGGGGGCGGGGAAGGCAACGGGAAAGATTAACCCAGCATTGACCGAGATGAACTGCTTCATGCGAACTTCCAAGCGTGCGACAACAGAGACAAGCAAATATGCTTCCCAGACCAGGGAGCAGCACACATCCTCGCGAGTTTCCGCTGCGGCAAGCTCTGCATCCAGCTTCTTCTTGATATTCTGCAACTCGTCAATTGGCTTCCTGGGAGACGGAACATACATAAAGTCAAAAGGAAGGTGCCGCGAGGGTAGCTGGGAGCATCGACGCAGATAGGTATGAGAGGACAGACGCCGAGCCTTGGACAACAGCACAGAGACAGGAAGCCACTGGGCGACGAGGGCCGACGTCCGCCCTCACAGCCCCGGCGAGAAGCAGGGGCCCGATGGCCGAGAAGCTTTAGCGAGCGTGACCCGAGCATCGCGCGCCGGGGATCGTACGCGCTCCACCTGGCCCCCCTCCCTGGCCATCGCTCGGACGTCCATTCCCTGTTTTTTTTCCGGTTTCGTGCGTGGATTTTTCGCAGGATGATCCAGGATGCTCCTTAATAATCACCGTCGAGAAAAAGTGCACACGTCCGAGCGATACCAAGCTCCCCACCTGCACGTCACGGTGTGTCCCTGGAGCCCCCCTTCGGCTGCGGGTGGCCTCTGTGCCCACCACTTTTGAGGCTGCTGCACGGCGCATTTTGCTCGCAACATGTCCCACAGCTCTTGTTGAGAAATTGCCCTGGTGGCTATTGTGGTGAGGCCGTCGAGGGCGAACAAAAATCCCTGGAGCCCCTGCTGCCCTAAAGCAAGTGTGAGGATCGCCGTCGGAGACACGCAACCCTGTCGGATTGCAACGCTGTCGCTGCTGAACCCAACGGGCGCACCATACCGCGGCTCGCTTGAGCCTCGAGGACAGCGCACCTGCGAGAACCCCCGAAGCTGAGGCATTCTGTAAGGCCGTGGCAAGCAAACGCCTATAGGAAAAGGAGGAGGAGGAAGAGGAGGAGGAAGGAGGAAGGAGGAAGGAGGAAGGAGGAAGGAGGAAGGAGGAAGGAGGAAGAAGGAAGGAAGGAAGGAAGGAAGGAAGGGAAGGAAGGAAGGAAGAAGGAAGGAAGGAAGAAGGAAGGAAGGAAGGAGGGAGGAGAGGGAAGGAAGGAAGGAGGAGGAGGAGGGAGGGGAGGAGGAGGAGGAGGAGGATCGAGGAGGGGAGGAGGAGGAGGAGGAGGAGGAGGAGGAGGAGGAGGAGGAGGAGGAGGAGGAGGAGGAGGAGGAGAGGAGGAGGGAGGAGAGGAGAGGAGGAGGAGGAGGAGAGGAGGAGGAGGAGGAGGAGGAGGAGGGAGGAGGGGAGGAGGAGGGAGGAGGAGGGAGGAGGGAGGAGAGAGGAGGGACGGAGTAGAGAGGAGGGAGGAGGGGGAAGGACAGGGACATCCGCATAAAAGGGGGTTCGGAGGAGGAGGAGGAGGAGGAGAAGGAGGGAGGAGGAGGAAAAGGAGGAGGAGGAGGACGAGGAGGAGGGAGGAGGAGGAGGAGGAGGGAGGAGGAGGAGGAGGAGGAGGAGGAGGAGGAGGAGGAGGAGGAAGAGGAGGAGGAGGAGGAGGAGCGGGCATTCCTGGTTCATTCCGGACCTGGGCGCCCGACTCGGGGCATGAACGTGGCCCTCTCTCCCTCAATGGCGCTCCGACGTGGGGGCCCCACCCTGCGCGGCCGGCTGCGGAGCCCGGCGCAGGCACTCCTGCCCAGCCAGTAAGGGCAGAGGCTTGCGCTGCAGTCGGGCTCGATTGCAAAAAAGATTCCGATGCGGACAGCGCCTCCGCACGAAGAGAACATAGCAGTACCCCTCCGGAGCTGGGGTTGTTCTCAACCCTCTTGCCAGCAGCACAGTCGGACTTCATCGGACAGGACACGCGAGAGGACACGAGACCCTTCCGAGGGCCACATTGCCGCAGGAATGTAGGAAGCACGGGTCGCGAGACGCAGGGCACAAAGGTACCCTTGATGTGGCAGGGTCGACCTGCTAATCCGGGCCGACTGTACCCTGGAGGCCGGCCCACAGGAAACCTTCGACACTGAGCCGCCCCGATACGCGACACGCAACGCGTAGCGTGTTGACACGGAGCTCAACCGCGTAGGCTGAAAACGTCGGTCTGGCGCGACACGTTCGCCAGAACGTGGGCCAGCACGTCGAGCAAACACGCAGCGTGTTCACGCGGACGTTTTGAACACGGCCCGTGTTGCGCCTCAGCGCGGGCGCATCAGGGCAGCTGAGCTTCCACAAGAAACCCAACCCTGATGCCCCAGGACGTCCATGGGTTTTTCCCCACATGTTTCGTGGGGTTCTGGCTTTCTTCCCACCCGCGTCGCGCCCGCGTCTTCCTCATCACCTCCCCTCCTCCCTTTTCTTCTCTTTACCAGACAGCACATTGACACACAGCACGTACACAACACAACACAGCACAGCACAGCACTGGTCAGCACAGCTCAGCTCAGTACAGCTCAGCTCAGCACTGCACAGCATCTCAACACAGCACAGCTTAGCACAGCACAGCACAAAACTGCACAACACAGCACGGCGGTCGTCCAGGGCACAGCAGGCGTGGCGTTTTGTCGACACCATGAAGGGTGCGCAGGGAGTGGTCCCTGAGGGCGGCCGCTATGCGTGACGGGCGTCCAGGGCATAGCAGGCGTGGCGTTTTCTCGACACCACACGGGGTGCGCTTGGGGTGGTCCCTCAGGGCGGCCGATATGCGTGATGGTCGTCCAGGGCACAACAAGCGTGGCATTTTCTCGACACCACAGGGGGGTGCGCACGGGGTAGTCCTTCTGAGCGCGGCCGCTATCCGTGAAGGTCGTCCAGGGCACGGCAGGCGTGGCGTTTTCTCGACACCACACGGGGTGCGCACGGGGTGGTCCCTGAGGGGGGCCGCTATCCTTGACAGTCGTCCAAGGCACGGCAGGCGTGGCATTTTCTCGACACCACAGGGGGTGCGCACGGGGTGGTCCCTGAGCGCGGCCGCCATCCGTGACGATCGTCCTTGCCCCAGCAAGCGTGGCATTTTCTCGACACCGCCGGGGGTGCGCACGGTATGGTCCCTGAGCGCGGCCGCTATCCGTGACGGTCGTCCAGGGCAAAACAGGCGTGGCATTTTCTCGACACCACAAGGGGGTGCGCACGGGGTGGCCGCTATCCGTGACGGTCGTCCAGGGCACGGCAGGCGTGGCGTTTTCTCGACACCACAACGGGGTGCGCACGGGGTGGTCCCTGAGCGCGGCCGCTATGCGTGGCGGTCGTCCTTGCCCCAGCAGGCGTGGCATGTTCTCGACACCGCCGGGGGTGCGCACGGGGTGGTCCCTGAGGGCGGCCGCTATCCTTGACGGTCGTCCAGGGCACGGCAGGCGCGGCGTTTTCTCGACACCACAGGGGGCGCGCACGGGGTGGTCCCTGAGCGCGGCCGCTATCCGTAACGGTCGTCCAGGGCACGGCAAGCGTGGCGTTTTCTCGACATCACAGGGGGTGCGCACGAGGTGGTCCCTGAGCGCGGCCGCTATCCGTGACGGTCGTCCTTGCGGCATCTGCGGGGCAACGGCCACCAACATCTTTCTCACATGCTTCACCTCAGCAATCATCACTCGAACCATAATATAATTATGTGCGGGTCCTCGGTAGCGTAATTGGTGTGGGAACGTCACGCTTTCCATAGCAAGACCATCGAAGCCCAAGAGACCAAGGGCACCCTGGAGGCAAGCAGAATGTTCCTTGGCATGGGCCTCCACTGTGTCCTGGAGGCCAGACGTGCAAGTTGGCGATGCCATTGCGTGGGTCTGTTCTGGATGGCAAGGGTGGCTGGGGGGGGGCAACGTGAATCTCGGGGCAGGGGTCGTACACGGTACTGCCGATCTGCCCAACACAATACAATGCCTCCTTCGACTGGTAAGGTCGCCCCGACTGCGTCCGTAGTAATTGCATGTGCAAGCGTACACAAGACTGCCGATAGTAATGTCGCTGTACAATTGCACTGGTTCCCTAATCTGCCAACGTTGTCCATACCGTGGCTGTTGAGAAGCATGTGCACACTCGTCTCCAATAGCAATGCATCTGGACGGCATGTAACGAAGGTCACGCTTGCAGTCAGAGCGGCTAGACATGAACATCGGCTCGCCTCTGCAGCTCTGATACCGACTTCTCGCGCCTGCAATCCGATTGCACAGGCACGTGGCAGCAGAGATAAGCAAAAAACGGGCAGGGACGGCATTGGCTACCCCCTAGCATCAGCAGCAATGCACTCCACCAACAAACCAATGCATAAATGGGGTGGCGATGCACAATGGGAGTCGAGAAAGACCTCTCGACTGAACCGCCTCTGTCTCATCCGCCTCCCCCCCCTCCTGAGCGCCAGTGAAGCATGACCTCATGGAGGGCCCAGCACAATCAATCAAAGACCGCACTCGGGAACCAGTCGCAAGCGAAATTGAAAAAAAAACAAAAAATGCATTCGACGTGTGGCCCCCTCGCACCGACCCGCGCATGTAGAAACCTGTCGATTAAACCATTCGCCCCCATGTGCAAAAAAGACACGGAAAGCACGATCTGCCCAAGGCGAATGAGCACAGCAGGCTTAGAGGGAGAGGAAGAAAAAGAGAGAGAGAGAGGGAGACCAAAACCCGGCGAGAAGGAAACATAGAACATGAGAGAGTGAGAGAGAACAACAAACAACGAAAAACGGGAGCCGCCCTATTAGGGTCCCTTTTTGGGCGGCCCCAGAGCCGCCCTAACAGGGGCCCCGAAGACAGCTCCGAAAATCATTGTAAGCGGCCCCAAGGCGGTCCCCGAGGCCCAAATATTGCTTCCGCCGCCCAAGACGCCCCCCAAACGGCCAAAAACGGTTCCAGCGATGCCTCTAGACAGGGGGCCCCCAAGAGTGCTTCATCGAGGCCTCCAAAATCGCCCCAGGAAGGGCCCTGAGATAACTCCAGACGGCCCTAAAACGGCCCACAAAGCGCCCGCAAGGACCCCGACAGGGGCCGCCAAGATGGCCCCAAGGCGGCCCAAGAGGCGCCCGTGACTTCCCAAGATGGCCCCAAGATGGTCCAAGAGGCGCCCTACAAGGCCCAGGAAGGCGCCGAAAAGCCCCCCACCAATTTTTCCATTTTTCAATGCAAAAAAAAACAAAAAACGGTGGGCCTCCCAGACGGCCCCTAGAAGCTTCAAGACTGCCTCCAAGAGGGGGCGGACGAGAGGCGAGAGGCCCGCGCGGCCAGACAAAACAGTGGTCTTTTGACGCTCCAGTGGCCCCTGGATGCCTGTCTTCTGGGTGCCTACGACGACGACGCTTTTTTGTGTGCAACGCGTGCAGCGACGACATCTCGGCTCGGAGCTTCGCACTTGGACATCCCACACTGCCCTCGCTGTGAGCCCCACTTTGCTGCGGCGCCGTCCAGAGGCGCCCGGGACGGCGCCGCGTGTTTGCCGCGACCCGCCCCTGACCTTCCAGAGAGCTATTTGTTAGCGCTGGAGGCCTAAAAACCTCAACAGCGAAACGAAACAGCCCAAAACCAAGACGTAGAGTAGCTCTGGGATAGGTTTTTAGGTCGCGTGCTATTGTTTTGCCCTCCTGGAAGGTCAGGGGCGCCCGCATCCGCCGCGGCCTGGGCGCGGATCTTCAGCGCTGCTCCGGCCCGAACTCTCGAACGTCTTGCGTCCGCGGAAAGCTCGGACACCTCGGCCCCCGGCATCGGTGCACTGGGCCCCTTCCATGGGAGAACCGCCCAAGGACAGGCTCCAGATGGACGGCGGCAGTAGCTGACAGCCACACAGAATCCAGCGAGAAGCGCCACCAGACCTCGATCCGCCCAACTCAGTGAATTGAATCCACTGGTCAACACTGGTATGCATAATGACATAACAATTTATATATATATATATATATTAAAACAGATGCATCGGGACAACAATTGCTTATACTCCCCCTTCCACGGGCACATGAGATGGCAACCAACGGGAGCACATTCAAAAAGTGGGGTCACGGCCGAGCTGAATAAAGAATGCATCATCGGGCAACTGCCGAGCAGGATGGGGGAACGAAGGAGGCAAGAGAAAGAGAGAGAGAGAGATGAAAAACCAAGGGAGAGAGAAAGAGAGAGAGGGAGAGAGAACAAATGACAGGAAGAAAGAGAGAAAGAGAGAGCGAGGCGGGAATGAATAATGATAGGAGGGAAGGACGAAGTACGGGAGGGAGCATGGATAGACAGAGCGAAGCGGAGAGAGAACGAGAACGGGAGAAAGAGAGAGCGACTAAGAGAGAGAGAGAGAGAGAGAGAGATATAATAAACAACAATCAACAAACACACACAGAAACAGGAGAGATAGAGGGAGTACTGAGACGAGGGATACTGCCGCAGCTAAGTGAAACCGTCGTTGAGGTTAGCCGAGAGGCCTGGCGAAATGATATACACGGCAAATGGCGTACTATCTGCGCGGGGGCTTCGAACGAACTTCAATCCCCATTGCTCGAAGTAGGCTCCCTGGAAATATGAAAAACGAACCCTTTTTACCGCGGACAATCTTCCTAAAACAATGGCCAATGCTTCAAAACTAGACTCGATTGAGAAGCGCTGGCATATGGCACCGCGGATGCCGTGCAGCCTCTCGAGGCCTGGCGCGGACACCCCCGGTCCAGACCCGGACCCCCGGGTCTGGACCCCCCGGCCAGGACCCCCCGGTCCTGACCCTCCCCGGTCCAAACTCCCCGATCCGGGATCCAGGCCCCCCGGTGCGGACCCCCCGATCGATCCTCCGAACCCTCCCCGGTCCGGACCCCCAGACTGGACCCCCTGGTCCGGACCCAGGGTCGGCCAGGACCTCTCGGGCCAGGCGCGGGCCGACGACGACGGCGGCAATGCGAGGGCGGCGGCGGCCGGGCGGCGGCGCCCAGGCGACGGCGGCGGCGGCGGCGGCGGAGGCGAGGCAGCGTCCAACCATCTGCTTTTGTTGAAACCCACGACGGCTCGTCCGAGTGTGACGGCCTAGCAAACGCCCAGGGGCGTTTGGTAAACGCCAATTGTCCGGTCCGGGTGGTCCTTCCTCCCTTGAATCACCTCGCGTCATCCACCCCGCCATGCCGCGCTCGTGGACGTCTTTGCCACTGGCCAGTCCGCGCACGCTGGATGCGCAGGGGGGCGAGCAGCTTGCCTCAAGTCGACGTTGCTATCCTGGGTGGTCAGGCAAGCAAGGCTCCACGAAACCGAGCGCGACGAGCGTGAACGGGGGGACGAACGACGACTGCAACGTTTGCCGATCGATTACTCCTTGTATGCGACTTGGCGAACGCAACACGCACGTGTGACCCGTAGGAGGGGTCGGTGAGCAGCAAGTTTATATCGTAACATCACGTGGCAGTGATCGGCAACCGCGTGAGCGCTAATCTGACGACGGCCGATGCCACGGGAAGTGGGGGAAATGCGACGAACACACCCGCTTGACGCAGTGAGCCAAACATGCATCTTACACAATGTGTCCCGGTCACGGCCCGACCCCGCCACCACGTCCTCCCCTGGACCCCTCCACTTGATAAACATTCCCTCCGGGCCGAGGAGCAACGTCCATCGCGCGACTCTTCGAGTCTAAGCGCACCTCCCGTCATCCGCCAGATTCGCAGGACACGTGTTTAAAGAGACCCTTGGTAAGAGATTTCCCTCCGGGCCCGCAACAACGTCCATCGCGCGACTCTTCCAGTCTAAGCGCACCTCCCGTCATCCGCCAACCCTGTCGGAGTGTGCGAGGCTTTCCTGTCTGAGTCGTCGCCGTCGCCGTCGCCGCTCCCCTCCCTTGACGCTTTTCCGTTCGAGTCGTCGTCGCCGTCGCTGTCGCCGTTCCCCATCTTTTCCCTGGGCCCTCCTCAAACGTTGCAGTCAGGGGGAAATCCCACAACGTCGTAATCGAGTCGTCAATATAGCTCCAAGACGGCCCAAGTTACCCCCAAGACGGCCTCGGGAGCCCCCAAGACGCCCCAAGAGGGCTCTAAGATGAGCCCCAGGAGCGCAGGCGAAAACCAAGGAATTTCGTTTAGTTCTTGCATGTTCTTCGTGTCTTCAACTGTTCGGGCTTCCAACGCTGCAAGACGGCCAAGGAAGGCCACCAGCATTGCCCCAAGACGGTCCGAGAGGCTGACGAAAGCGCCCGCAAACGGCCACGAGACGGCCCCAAGAACACCCAAGGGGCCCCCAAGATGGCCGAATGTGGCCCCAAGAGGGCCCCAAGACGCTTCCCAAATAGGGAATACCAACCGACATGGCGTGCCTTCCGCCGCAAGAGGCCCAGGGAGGCCCCACGAGGCGTGCAAGAGAGCGCTTAGATGGTAAAATCAATGGTTCCCCGTAGCGTTTCTTGAATGTTTTTTTTTGTCGTCGTCGTCGTCGTCGTCGTCGTCGTCGTCGAAGTCGTCTTCGCCGTCGCCAATCTGTCGGTCGGTCGGTCGGCCGTCGTCGTCCCTCTTCGGGGTCGGCGGCACCGGACGTAGGGCCTTCGCACGATGTCTTCCGGAAACAAAATTGAGTATCATTGTCCACGGGTCGATCGTTGCACAATCCGTGAGGGAGTTTGCTTCACATAATCACGAGGGGGCGTGAGCGAAGAAGCTATTGCTACTAGATGGTTCAGCGGCTGTATATCAATGCGTGACTCCATGCCGACAAGGCCTGAGGCTGCACGCAGCACCATCACACCGTATGATAGCATAGCACGGCGAACGTGCGGATGTGGGAGCATGAGCAGAGAGCGGACGAGAAGGAGCAGGAAGAGCAATGGGAGGAGGAGGAGGAGGCCCCAACAGAGGGGTTGGGATATAACGCCTGTTCATCACCGAAAAAGGGATGGAAATGCCGTCTTCTCTCCTCCCTCCTCCTCCTCCTCCTCCTCCTCCTCCTCCTCCTCCTCCTCCTCCTCCTCCTCCTCCTCCTGCTCCTCCGCCTCCTTCTCCTCCTCCTCCTCTTCCTCCAAGGCCGCGGACGGCTCAGGCCATGAACACATACGGTCTCTGCCACGCCTCCCCGCGATTCCCTCCATCCGCCAGGACCCCGAGAGGGATTGCTCACTCGGCTGGCTGCTGGCGGCACCCCAGCGCGCCGACGGCATGACAGCTAATGCGGATGACCGCTGCGGCGCCCCCCCCCACTGGAGGTGAGGCGCTCACGGGCCCAACGCCACCGAGCACGACTACGACGCTGGCTCACCCTGACTGAAGGTGCTGCCGGCTTTCCGCCGGGCCTCGTGGACTTGAACGACGACCCGAAGATCCCCCACGGCGACACCAGTGAGCCGCAGAGCGCGCCGAAGAACCTCCACCACGAGAAGTCGGACAAGGACATGCAGGCGAGGGTCTCCGATGGCGACGGCATCAAGCCGATGATCCATGACGTTCCGAAGAGACCCCACTTTCGTGAGTGGTACGCCGCGTCGACCGGCATCTTTTGCTACAGCTGCGCCGCGAAGACGTCGCAGGTCAATAGTGAGAAGTACGACGACCAGCTTTGTTTCACGTGCTACGAGACGATGCACAAGCGAGGGAAGTCGGACAAAACAATGCTGGTGAACGTCTCCGACGGCGAGCCGAAGAATCTCCCCCACGGGAAGTAGAACAAGGACATGCTAGTGAGCGTCCCCGATGGCCGCATCGAGTCGGATACCTACGACGTTTACGACGTTTGTGACCTGGACGGCACGACGAGCGACATCCTCTGCTCCAGCTGCGCCGTGAAGATGCCGCACGTGGACAACGCGAAGTACGACGACTATTTCTGTTTCGCGTGCTACGAGACGATGCACAAGCGAGGGAAGTCGGACAAAACCATGCTGGTAAACGCCTCCGACGGCGAGCCAAAGCATCTCCTCCACAGGAAGTCGGACAAGGACATGCTAAAAAGCGCCCCCGATGGCCGCATCGAGTCGGAGACCTACGACGTTTGTGAACTGGACGGCACGACGAGCGACATTGTCTGCTCCAGTCGCGCGGTGAAGATGCCACACGTGGATAGCGAGAAATACGACGACTACTTCTGTTTCACATGCTACGAGACAATGCACAATCGCGGGAAGCCGGACACGGCCATGTTGGTGGATGCGACTAACACGACGGAGGACGTGCACGCAACGACGGAAATCCCGATCGACACCTACGCCGAGGAGGAGCTGGATGGGGAGGTGGAGGACGACGCCATCCCTATTGGCATCTACGACGCCTTCGCCCATGCGTGTAGCGACGCGATTATCGAGCTGAAGTGGCGCAACGGCGAGGAGATGGCGACCGCGGCCCTCGAGCGCACGATGGCTGGGACGGCGTCCTACTCTTTTTGGGACTTCGCCGACTGTCTGCGGGCCATCAATAGGCTAGCCACGCGACAAATCCAACTGCTGAGCGATCTGCGCCTCCCTGACCCCCCATCGATCCTCCACCCTCGGACTCCCGTGCGGTGCAGCAGTGAATGCAGATGAAGAGGCGGCGGCATACCCCTCTTCAGTTAGCGCTGCGGTTTTAGAATTCCAATATCGCGCCCCCCGCGGGCCCGGCATGGCCCCTCACTGGCGTGACGCCAGCGGGCTGTGCGCGAACCTGCACACGAGCAGTACCTTGATGCAGATGGAGAGGAGGCGGCACTGTTAGTCCCTGGGCTCGCGTAGCGAATAGTCATCCGCGCCTGGCTTGTCACCTCGACCACGGGCTGCCGTCCCGAGCAGCGCTGTCGAGCGTGCCCCAGGACGCGCCGCCGAGAGAGAATGTGGACCTGATGGGGCCCTGCGACGGTCTAGCTGTGCTGCACACAGTTTCCTCTCCCAGCACGCAGGCCCCTTCGTCGAGTAGAACAAATTCCTCCTCCTCCTCCTCCTCCTCCTCCTCCTCCTCCTCCTCCTCCTCTTACCTCTTACCTCTTACCTGTCTGAATGGCGGAATCCACATTGCGGAGCCCCTATAGGTAGCTCCGTCCAGCACGACGGAGGACAGGCCAAAATCGTCGTTCACAGCCCCAACCTGATCCACGCATGCCCACATATTCAAAACGGATCCTGCACACCACGCCAAGGAACCACGAAAGTCGAACGCAAGAAGGCGTCACGATGAAGGAAACCCCAGCCGCTCCGTGCTGAACTCCTCTGCCAGAAAACCCAACGCCGATGTTGGCCCAATCGATCAGCGGCCCTATGGGGATAACTGGCCGCTCAGCCATCGGCATCTCGAAAATGGGAGCTTCACGCCGTAACACAGGATGTGCACAATCCGCGCAGAAAAGATCTTCACAATGATAGCCCGCAGAGCAAAGGAACATATCGTTGCCAACCGAAATGGTGCTCTCACACACCGTTGAAGTACCAGGACAGTCGCCATTCTCATCCCTGCTCAACGCATGTCCTTCCGAGCAACACCTGCGGTGGCCAGCTTCTGGATTATCCTGCATGTCTGCGCGAACAAAATTGCAAGTCCCACCACAAACGTCTGCATTTCTATCCCCTGCCGCGGGCGGGGGCCAGGCTCTGTCCAAAATTCTCCGGAAGCCTCGCTATCTGCTCCTGGCCCCACAGCACCAGAAGTCTGAGACGAAGGCGAAGCCACCGCGAAAGGTTCCAGCTCCTTGGTCGATGCAACAGAAATGTATAGCCCAGGCGGCGCCGAGATATGTAAGGCTACGTTCCGTCGAAGCACTACTGAATGCTCAGGAAGGCGTCCATGCAGAATGTCCGCGAGAGCAGGACCTACTGCGAGAACTCTATCTGCAAGAGCAGGATCGCCGAAAAAGGCCACAACAGGTTGGACAGACCACCATACTTAACCTGGAGCTCCTTCAACTCTTCAGTAAGCCGACGCACAGCCCGATCAGCCGAAAGGCGGGCCCAATCTCGGCAAGTTCGCCGCTCAGCAGCAGTGCGTCGTGGTGAAACTGGGCATGTATCAAATATGCCCTTCCGTGCCTGAACAAGCCCGTGCAGACACCTCCAAGGCGGAAACCAAGCGCGAGGCACAATCGATCCAAAGGGTCGTCCGCTGCGGACGGCTTGAGTCAAAATGGCTACGGACATCCTGATCCTCCTCCTCCGCCTCCGCCTCCTCCTCCTCCTCTTCTCCTTATTCTTGTGTTACTGGTATTCAGATTGTTAATGTTATCATTGTGCTTATTCATATGATTGTTATTCCTCCTCCTCCTCCTCCTGCTCCTCCTCCTCCTGCCTTATTCTCGTCCTCCTCCTCCTCCTCCTACTCCTCCCCCTCCTCCATCCTCCTCCTCCAGTCCTCCTCCTCCTCTTCCTCCTCCTCCTCCTCCTCCATCTCCTCCTCCTCCTCCTCCTCCTCCTCCTCCTCCTCCTCCTCCTCCTCCTCACTCTCCTCCTCCTCCTCCTCCTCCTCCCCTCCTCCTCCTCCTCCTCCTCGTCCTCCTCCTCCTCTCCTCCTCCTGTTCCTCCTCCTCTTCCTCCTCCCGTCCTTCTCCTCCTCCTCCTTCTCCTCCTCCTCCCCGTCCTCCTCCTCCACCACTCCTCCTCCTCCTCCTCCTCCTCCTCCTCCTCTCTTCTCCTCTTCCTCCTCCTCCTCCTCCTCCTCCTCCTCCTCCAGCTTTGATCCTCCTCCCCTCCTCCTCCTCCTCTCCGCCTCATCCTCCTCCTTCCTCCAACGCCTCATCCTCCTCCTACTCCTCCTCCTCTCCTCCTCCTCTCCTCCTCCTCCTCCTCCTCCTCCTTCTTCTCGTCCATCCTCTCCTCCTCCGCCTCCTCCTCCTCCCTCCTCCTCCTCCTCCTCTCCTCCACGCTTCCCTCCTCCTCTTCCGCTCCTCCTCCGCCTCCTCCCCTCCTCCTCCCGTCCCTCTCTTCCTCCTCCCTCCTCCTCCTCCTCCTCCTTCTCCTCCCCTCCTCCTCCTCCTCCTCTCTCCGCTCCTCCTCTCCTCTCTCCTCCTCCTCTTCTCTTCTCCTGCTCCTCCTCCCTCCTCCTCCTCCTTCTCCTCCTCCTCCTTCTCCTCCTCCTCCTCTTCCTCCTCCTCCTGCTGGGGCTGCGCGGGGCCGGTCCCTCAGGCGGTCCAATCTGTGCGTGGTGGCACGGATCTCGGCTAGCAGGTCCAACTTCTCGGCGGCCGCCTGGGAAGTCCATGGACATCCCCTTCGATATCCTCCTCCTTCGCTTCCTTATCTCGCTTGTTTCCCTTCTATTACTTATTTTCCTCGTCATCCTCCCTCCTCATCCTCCTGCTTCCTCCTCCTCGCCCATCACTCATATTTTTTCTCCTCTTCCTCCTCCTCCTCCTCCTCCTCCTCCTCCACCTCCTCCTCCTCCTCCTCCTCCTCCTCCTCCTCCTCCTCCTCCAATTCCTCGTCCTCTCTCCCGCCCTTCCTCCTCCAACCATCGAGGATCGGCTACACGCAAGAGCGACTCTGGGTAAGAGTGGCCTTCGGTGCGCGGCTTTTTGGGGGCTGAGGGGGGACCAAACCTGGGCGCGCAAGTCGCTGCTCCTGCTTCGTTTTCAGCCATCAGGGGACCCATCTGTGCCCGCACCAAAGGTCATTCCGGCGAGCGTTCACTCTTACGTCTAGTCGAGAGGAGGGGGGGGCGCGCGCCACGCCTCAAGCGCCTGCTACGCTCCGTGCTCCTCCTCCCGGTCTCCTCCTGCTCCCTCCCCTCCCCCCTCTCTCCCTCCATCCTCTTTCCGTTTCAATGAGTCCTCCCTGTCGCGCCCCGGGCGAGACGTGCGTCGGTAGAACGGGCCAGGCCTTCTGCCTGAAACTTCCTCACCACGTATGATTCTTCAGCTGGCAATTACTCCGACGGCAGAACCCACATGATAATCGATGTAGATTGTCCCTCGCCTTCTTCTCGTTCGATTGGCGGAGGCCTTCCTTCCGCCCTCTGCGTCCTCCTCCTCCTCCTTCTCGTCCTTTTCATCCTCCTGCACATTCTCGTTCTACCCGTTGGTTTATTATCCTGTTGCTTTTTCCGCCTCCTCCTTCTCCTCCTCTGCCTCCTCGTCCACCGCCTCCTCCTCTCCCCCCCTCCTCCTCGTATTCTTCCTCATCTTCGCCATTTCCTTCCTCCTCCTTCACCTCCCCTCCTTCTCACCCTCCTTATCTTCGCCCCGCCTGTTCTCCTCGTGCACTTCTCCTTCCTCCTGGCAGGAGCGCGTGCGTCGGTTTTCCTCGGCGCCGTCGCCGCCTCGGCCAGCACGGGCGCATTCTCTAATGGCCGCATCGCGCACCCGTCTGGACAACCCCGCCTGATACTCTCCATTCAGGCCTCAGGAATCCAAAAATGACGACAATTACAAGGTTCCGACGACCCGTTCGGATTAAAAACACGAGCTGCGAACCTCATACGGAGGGGGCTCCCGCCCGAGACTTCCTCGAATGTCACTCACTGACGAGGCTCCCGCCTGAGACTTCCACCATATTCAAGCTTGAAAAGGCCAACAGCGACGACAATTACAAGATTCCGATACCCCGCTCGGATCAATAACATGATCTGCGGGCCCCATGGGGAGGGGCCCCCGCCTGAGACTCCCTCGCATTTCACTCACAGACGAAGCTCCCGCCTTAAACTTCCGCAGTACTCAAGCTCGAGGAGCCCAGAAGTGACGACGGTTACAATATCCCGATGGCCCGCTGGGATTGAAAACATGAGCGGCGGGCCTCCGACGGAGACTTCCTCGCAATTCACTCACAGAAGAAGCTCTCGCCTGAGACTTCCGCCATCACCAAGATTGAAGAGGCCAAAGAAGACGACGGTTACTGGATTCTGATGACCCGCTCGGATTGATAACATGAGCTGCGGGCCGCATAGGGAGGCAGCTCCCGCCTGAGACTCCCCCGGTATTCACTCACAGACGAGGCCCGACTCCCGCCTGAGACTCCCACCATATTCAAGCTTGAGGAGCCCAAAAGTGACGCGACAGTACAAGATTCGGGTAACCCGCTCGGATTATTAACATGACTTTCGGGCCCCATCAGGAGGGCCCCCCCGCCTGAGACTTCCTCGTGAATCTCTCACAAGCGAAGCTCCCGCCTGAGATGAGTGAGTGAGTGAATGACTGGGTGAGTGAAGGTGATGAGGATGGTACTGATGATGAAGATGACGATGGTGATGATGGTGGTGATGATGATGATGGTGATAAGAGTGTGAGTGAGTGAGTGGGTGAGTGGGCGGGTAGGCGGGTAAGTGAGTGGGTGAGTGCGTGAGTGAATGATGGTGATGAATGTGTGTGTGTGTGTCAGTGAGTGAGTGAACGAGTGTGTGTGAATGTGTGAGTGAATTTGGGCGTTTGTACGTGAATGAGCGGGTGAGTGAGTGACTGGCTGTGTGACTGTGTGTGAGTGTGGGTGTTCTCTTGTTCCTGCGCAGGGTGTCTAAAGAAAACAAAAACCCCACTTTGGATGTCGGGTGAAAAATCACGGATGGAGGGCGGGTGGTTTCCAAATCGAACCCTCGGCCCCAAGAAGCCGCCAGGAGGCTCCAAGAGGCCCCCAGGCAGCCCTCAAGGAGCTCCAAGAGCCAAAAGAGGCCCCAAGAGGCCCTTAACGGCCCCAAGGCATCAAAAGTGCTGCCAGGAGGCCCCCGAGAGACCTACCAGGAGCCCCCCAAGGGGCCGGCGGTGCGGCGTAAGCCCAAGAATCAAAATTCACGGATGGAGGGCGGGTGGCTTCCAAAATGTGGCCCCCCCGTCTCGGCGCCGCGCACACTCGTACGGCAGGTTCGCGTCGTGTCGACCCCGGCGTTGGTTCCCGACACCGCTGGGACTGCTCAACCTTGAACAATCGGCCGTTCCCGAATTGTCAAGATCGTTCAACATCGACCGATTCTGGGCCGCCACCGGCATTCCACGTTGAACGCCAGCGGCGGAGTCGCCGCCGGTCGACACGACGCGAACCTGCCGTATTAAAAACATTGCAAGAGTTTCACTGATTGGGAGCGGCTTATTTACAGCAGAAGGTTCTCGCCTCAGCGCCGCTCAGATGTATCTTGAGAGCTTACAGCAGCTTCAAGGTTTCTTATGACTGCCGTCGCAGGAATGGTGTGCCCGCACGATGTACGACTGTCATGGCGCAGTCAGATTGGTTCGCGGAGTTGATAGAAGTCCCAGGAATGGTGATCTTGCGCGATCCAGGATCGTCAGGACGCGATAGGACTTAATATTGCTTCGCGGCGCTGAAGTCCCAGGAAGTGTGTTCTGGCACGGCTTCGGATTTCAAGCGGTTGCCTTCCCGCGGAGTACTTCCCCCAGTGAGAATTAATCTTTGTAAGGCCCTATGACGATGAAACTCGACGGGAGGGTTTCTTGCAACATCGTTGATCAGTCTTGGGTTTACACTGGTCCTCGCCCTCCTCCTCTTCCTCCTCCTCCTCCTCCTCCTCCTCCTCCTCCTCCTCCCCTCCTCCTCCTCCTCCTCCCATCCACATCCTCCTCCTCCTCCTCCTCCTCCTCCTCCTCCTCCTCCTCCTCCTCCTCCTCCTCCTCCTCCTCCTTTTCCTCCTCCGGAACAACATAATCCGAAACAGACTCCGCCGCGACCTTCTCATCCCCCTGGCGGGCGGGGCCGCCCCGCTCCCCGCCAAAGGTACCCCTTGGGGCAGCGGCGCCCTCGGCTGCCCCAAGGCGCGGGCACGGGGCCCCAAGGCCCAGGGCGCGGATGTCTCCCCGCGCTGGGGAGTCGCCCGGCTCTGCGGGCAACCCCCGCGGAACAGCATAGGCCGAAACAGAATCCTCTCCCACTTCTCCCCTCCCTCCCCCTGTTCCTCCTCCTAACCCTTCCCCTCCCCCTCTCCGTCAAGCCCGCGACGTCAGCCTCCTCACTCTCCCCCCTCCCTCGCTCCCTCCACCCATCCTCATTATCATCATTTCCTCCTCCTCCTTTCCTCCTCCTTTCCTCCATTGCTCCATTCCTGCATTCCTCCACTCCTGCATTCCTCCATTCCTCCTCCTCCATTCCTCCACCTCCTCCTCCTCCGCCTACTCCTCCTTCTCTGCCTCCTCTTCCTCCTCCTCCTCCGCCTCCTCCTCCTCTTCCGCCTCCTCCTCCTCCGCCTCCTCCTCCCCCTCCTCCTCTGGCGATCAGAACTTAGCCCGGGAAAA